TAAGACTTTCGATTTTTAATAAGGATTTCGTGAAAGTTGATTCACAACTGAACTCTCTGTATCATCGTTTTGCAGTTGGCATCTGCTATTTAAAAGTACTGATCAGAAAGTTTTAACTTTAGGCCTCTCACAGTATTTTTTTAAATTAAGGTGTCATCGGACCGTACAGCCGAAGGCGAGAAAGTCTGTGTGACAAAATCAAGAGTTTTGAGTTTTAAAAAGTTTTTCTTTTGTTGTCAATGTAGTATGGCACTGAGATTATTTAAAAATTTGCCATCAAATTTCTGATATTAAAATCAGTGTCATATTTTGTTAAACGTTGAGATATTCTGAACAGAAGTTTTTTCCAGAAATAAAGACACACTATTCGATTCCTATAGATACTTCAGTTTCTAACCTCTGGAAAATTAAAACAGCTAGTACGTTTCGGCATATATTCCAAACTCAATTTAAAATACCGCTCATTTCACCTATTGCTAGTTTGCTAGGTTTTATGTTCACAAACTGCATTCCCGATAGATTCTAATCTAAAAGCAAACCTCACACCCTTTTTAGCCAAATATTTTATTGTTACATTCTTCCATTTACTTTCTGACAACTTTTACCCTGTAAAAAATTATTTTGGTGTCGTTGATAAGAATATTTTTAGATTTCTATTGAAGTTAAATTACTATTTACAAACGTTCTCATTAAGTGAGCATTAAAATGTCTTGAAATCAGATTTGCAAAATTCCATTTGACGCTTACGAAAACTGAATAATTTCTCTTACTTAAGTTTTCTTCCTTTCCTTCCTTATTCGTTTTCAGAACTAATTGTTATCACCAAATTGAAGGAATACCTATAGTAATCTCTTCAATCTAGCACTTGCTGGTATTTACATGCATTACTTACACTGAAATTATCACTGGTAACATTAGACTGAAGAGCCAAAGCATTATGACTACCTACTCAATAGCACTTTGGCCTGCAGAAAAGCCGCAATATGTCTTGGAATGAATACCACAAGTTCTTGGTAGATGACTGAAAACAGGCTATACCAAATGTCTAAGCAGCAATCACGCAAAGTCAATACATTCCGACACGGGGGTGTTTGAGCTCTGAGCTACTGCTCCATGACACCCCAAATGTGCTCTATTTGGTTATGATCCGGAAATTAATTGAAATACATCCTTACGTTTCTCCAACCACTCCAGCACAATTTGAGCCCTGTGACATAGCGGTTGCCCTGCTGGAAGATTCCATTTCAAGTTGGAAAAAGACAGCTGATATGTAAAACTGCAAATGATCCGCAGTTATGTTCAGATAGTCCACAGTTTTCAGTGGTCTGTTCTACCACAACTAAGTGTCCCAAAGCCGCCCATGAGAACGTCTCCCAAAGCATAATACCGCCACCAGTAGACTGTGTATGACCTGCTGTATAGAGGGCAGCAACTGTTCTCTTGGAAGACAATGTACCCTAACATCACCATAGACGTGATGAATTTGAAATCGTAATTCATCCGACCAGGCGATTTCTTCCACTTATACATGGTCCAGTCTCGATGTTCCCGGGCCCAAGTTTTATTTATTTATCACCAGTGATCAGGGTTGTGACCTAAAGTGTATACCAAACAGAATAGTGCCTGCTTAGAAGGATATCAAGTGCAATCCAACAGCCGCTGCCACCAGGGTAGGATTTACAGATCTAATGACACTTTTTTAACAAAATCCGATTGCCATCAAAACGACACTCGCAAAAATGATTTTTTCTCCTGAAGAAAGAGGATTTGTGTATAATCGTCCTAAACACTAATAAAGTTTGCTTCAAAATATACCCCAAAGTAAGGTCGCTTTGCTTTTAATTTTAAACTTTACGTTTTCATGTTTCTCTTTCAACTCAAAGCAGGATTTATTTATTTATTTATTTATTTTTTTATTTTTTTATTTTATTTATTTATTTATTTATTTTTTGTTTGTTTTGTTTACACAGAAGAAAAAGCGATTCGGGTAACTGGAGTTAAACTGCATTTTAATTACTTCTTTTATTTTTTAAACGCAATTTTCTATCCGATGATTTGTATTCTCTAAATATCCATCCTAATTGCAATATTTTTTTTTTATTTCAGCCCGTTGAACTCTTCAGTTTCATTGGTGGCTACTTGGGCTTATGGTTAGGTTTCTCTGTCATTGCTATGATTGATTTTGCCATTTCCCTTCTCTTCATTCTCTGGGTAACCGTGAAGAGATGTATTCGAAGGTGTGTACCCATAGTCCACCCGAAAAAAGAAATTCAAGGACATGTATTCAGCCTGCAACGTTGTTATGAGGTTTAACAAATGTAATATCTTATTAGAGACCAAGATTTCTTTCTTATTTATGGAATTTCTAGGACAGCAATTTGCTTTGTGAAGTGCCTGAATTATACCGAATATTAACGGAAAGATTTTGTATTGCCTATTTACTGCATGTGTTATTTATGTATTTTCTGTAGTGTATTCACACCTGCGCATTATAAGGTTAACTGAAATGTAATATGTATCACAGCAACTCTCTAAGAATTTCCATTTTTCAAGTATAATAGCTTTTGTAATGAAATAATCAATTACGTCTTACCACCTACAATTTATTTCTCATTGTAAAACTCGCAACCCTAACACCGGGATCTTCAAATGAGATTCTTCTATTCGCCTTCGTTTCTCCTGTATTATGTAGAGTTAGAAACTTGATTGAATACAAATATTATTGCTTAATTTGCTAGTGTGCAAAACCGCAGTAAAGGATCTTGAGAAAACACTAATATTTATTTGTTTATTAGATCCATTATGTAAAATGATTAATTTCTCTAAGTACTGAATAAATAATGATTTCGAGCAGCTTTATACACGCTTAATTTCTCCGACTGAAAATTCGATCCGTTTGAAAAAAGAGTGCGATTTTTATCCGTTTTCTGTTTAAGATCGTGGTTCACATTCCTTTAAGATTAGAAAAGTCTTCACTTAGACATCGAGTGGAAGTTTAAATATTTGGCAAAAGTGTTGGTAAGACCGTTAGGAATTTCGTTCAATGTTCTTTACTCGAAGAAGGATAGAGAAGAAAATGTGATCGTGTTGACACTAGAATGGCAGACATATTGAAACGTGAAATAAAAACCTACCGAAATAATGTGAATATCTCTGTTTGAAAAGTGTTATTATTAGTGAATATAATGTGATAATTAGTAGCTTTAGTTTTCTTCTTTATTAGGCATGTATAAAGAGATCGTATTTGAATTATTTAATTTTTCGCAATTTTATTTCTGTGTCTTCTATAATTAAACTTTGATTTCTGTAAACCCTTTTTAAAGTGTATTTTTATTTGTATTCTATTAACTTTAAATTGCTGATTTTGATTATATAGTTCTTCATTATTTATACAGTAGTGACTTTTAATTTATAATAGAATTATTCAAATTATATCGTAATTTTGGATGGCTTTATTTGACTTCTCCACAGCTGATGACCTAAGCTCTGAACTTCCAGATGATCTTGATCGCAGAATTTTTTAAGTATACTTCGTGTTAGTCTAACTGTTTAAACAGTAGACATAATATGCTTATATCTCTCAAGTATATGAATATATACGGTTTTATTGTCCCTCAATAAGTAATTTCATGTATTACCATTTCATTTGGATACCCATGTACTCAAACGTTTACTTCTTTGCAGGTAAAGAATGTTGTCTCTATATTTCTTCTTACTTGTAAACCATTATGAGTAAATTTAACACTTTCTGTTTTATACATAAATTTATGGTTGTTAATGAATCTGAGTACAGTTCATTAACTTAAAATCAGTATATTTTGTAAAAAATGACTTTCAGATCCTTATATATATTAGAACACAATTTTAGCAGCATATTTCTGGATTTAGATAAATTCCATATTTCCAAACCACCACAGTTTTTGTAATAAATATCTTTTTTCTGCTACTATACATATTATAAGCATATAACATGGATATAGGTTAATCTAGGAAAAGTCTGAATGTAAATATTGCATTTAAATCACAATGAGGATTGTTGAATAGCTGCATGTATGAAAAAATGATACAATTTGCATAAACTGGATATATATGGGATATATCTAGATGACAGAATTTTAGCTCAGATAATTACATGACATATAAGGATTTGAAAGAAATCAGGTATTTGTTTCCAGAAGCTAAAAAATGTGAAATACATAAATTGTGGATTATGTATAATTGGAAAAAACCTGAAGCACATGAGGTAAGCTTATTTGGAATTTTGCAAGCATAAAATAATTATTGTTTGCATAAAAGATGAGTACTGATGTAAACTATACTCTCAGATGTTTTAAAAATCCGTGTAAATTCAGGAATGAAAATGATAATACATTAAAAAAACTACAAAGTATATAGATACAACATTGTATACAGTAAAATATTTAGATAAGATACTGAAGAATAGAATTAACATAAATAAAAATCTGTAATATTGTGTAAATAGTATAAAAATAAAAATCAACTTTAAAGCATGTTTAGAAAAATTGCCATCCAGTTAACATACGCTAAGAATAACTGATTAAGAAGTAAAAAAGATAAAATTATTAAGTATTAAGAAATAAAACTACAGAAAATAAAAGAATGTAAGTGTGATCTCTCTACATACACCTAAGGAAGAAAAAAATCTTGAACTACAATTTATTACGATATATCAATTAATAATATATACACTAAAACTAAATATTTTAGTCATTAAAAGGAAAAAAAAACAGAAGAAATTTTAAGTATCGTATAAACTACATCAAGTTGAAAAATTAAACGTAAGATTTAATGAGTGACTTTCTTAAGATTTAACAACATAGATGGACATACGTGTCAGACTATGACACATTAATGAATTTATACGATGGATAACGTACGAATGTACTAGACTGGTACACTATGAATTGATCCTGCTTAACAGTCCTTTTCATATAGGCAGGTATTTGGCGATGTAGTATGATAATTCAGAAAACAGGCGTCTCAAGACCAGAAGAGGAAAATGCTTATCTTCACTGTCATTGGCTGTATACCACGTGACACTCCCGAAACGTTTAGGCAAAGAATCTGTAAGAGATTCTTTGGTTTTAGGCGCTATTTCTGGTTTTTCGCCAACTGCAATTGTGTTTCTCGCCAATTGTTAGCGGTTTGTTTAAATCAAGGATATTGCTTTTTTTTTATTATCAAAATGGATATGTTTAAATGTAAATCTTGCAGTTCATCTTTTTATGCGAAAAGATATTTGAAAGCGCATGAGAAGCGCATGCACAAAGAATACACGAATTTAAATAATAAAGTTGCACCATTTTCGTGTACGTATTGTACGAAGCAATTTTGTACAAAAAATTCTTTAGCTAAACATAGGATACGTATCCATAATATAAGGCGAAGTAATATTAAATGCGGCGAAGACGAATGCCGGGAACTATTTTCTACTACAGGAGATTTAAGATCTCACTTAGAGACTTGCCATAATTACAGCAATATGACCAAATGTATAAAACTGGAGTTTCAAAAAAAGCAAGGTATGCAATGAACTTTTTATTATTTTGTTTTCCTAGTTCAATTATAAATAAGCAAAATATATTGCGTAACTTCTGTATATAGCCCTTAATCTTTTTACATTAAAATTAAATAGCTTCATTAAAGCTAGTTCAGCAATACATTTATTTGAAGAAACACCATATATATGGTATTATTAATTTAAGCTGTTTCAGCACACAAATATGCATTTATTTGAAAAAATTAACAAATTAATTACTTTGAAACATATAATTTCAGAACACTATAGTTTTTAACAATTAAGATTATTTTTCTGTGTGGCTGCAATCTGCATATTTTTATTTACTAATCAGATGCCCTTATTATGAAAATTTATACATTTATTTATTTATTAGACTTTTATTCATGGCTATCGGATGAAGAAAGAAAAACAAAGACTCATTTTGTGGTAGATTCATCTGGGCAGAAACATAAAAATTACACCAGGACGCTGTTTTGCTGTAATAGAAGTGGGACATACAAAGCAAAAGGCAAAGGTGAAAGACAGCTAAAAGCACAAGGGACTTCCAAAACAGGTTTCTCTTGCACAGCTACTGTCATACTAAAAGATTTTGGCAATCGTTTTGAAGCTGTATATTTTAAAGAACATTACAAGCATGAAAAATCCCTTTGTCATCTCCCTATTCCTAAACAAGAAAAGCAAAGTATAGCAGGCAAGTTATGTGTTAGACCGTATTTTGATTGTATTAATTTCTCTTAAATAAAACTATAATTACTTATGCAGTTGGAGCCTTTCTAGCTGTCATTAATATACAGGTGGTTCAAAATTCCAAAAGTGAATGAATTTTAATATTAATGAAGTTGATAACGAAAATCATTCATGGAAAATTCAGATTGGGAGAGAAACACGCGAGTGTGAAATTTAAAATTAGGCTTAACAGCAGACTTAATTTGCATAGATTTTAAATAAAATTATCAGCTTTGAGGACAATCAGACACAGGTATCTCTTCAGGAGTACAAAACTTTTGCAAAATGGAAGGAGTGGGTAGAGCAAAGTAAAGATGAACGTAACACTGTCTGCTGTGGAAAATAATAATGAAGCATGTAAAACCAAGATATTATAATTCTAAATGTGTTATGAAGGAATTAACACATTTATAATT